CAAAAGTGACCTAAGTATTGGGAAATGTGTCCTAGCGTCTGTAAAAAACTGTAATTTCAAAGCAGTTCTACAGTCCAACACTGGTCTCTCAATCTCCCGTTGGAGAGCCGCGAGAGAATAACACTGATTATTTCTCCTTATCTTATCTCACAGTTTGTTGTGTGTGTGGCTGCATAGTCACAGACCAGTCAGGGTGCCCACCACTAAAAGAGCCAACAATGGGCATGCGAATGTTGTCTGATTAATCACATGTTCTTTTAAATAACATGTGTGTGCATTGCTTAACTGAAGAACACCAGGTACCAGGATGCACTGTAGGAGGAAGTGTGATCTGTTTGGGAAACCTTGGGTCCTGGCATCCATGTGGATTCTACTTTGGCACTTACCTCCTACCGAAGTGTTGTTGCAGGCTTTTCATAGAAATGATATTCCCTATTCGCTGTGGCCTCTTTCAGCAGGATAATGTGTTCTCCTGCCAAGCAAAAGTGGTTCAAAAATGGTTTGAGGAGCACAACAATGAGTTTGCAGTGTTGACTTTGTCTCCAAATCCCACAGATTTCAATCCCATCGAAACATGTGTGAGATGCGCTGCACAAACAATTCTGATCCATGGATGCCCCAACTTAAAGGAATTGAATGATACAGCAGGACACTTTCAGAGATCTAATGGAGTCCATGTCTCAACTGTTCAGGGCTGTTTTACCAGCAAAAATGAGACCAACAAATAGCAGATAAGTTTTTTGCTTGATTGATGTAGTCCTGCTGAAGACAATTCCAGGTCTCTATTAAAGGGCAGGAAGAATAAGTCTGAGTTACAGCAGGATGATTATGTTAGTTTAAATGAATCAACACCTCCAAGAAACCTCGAAGGTGGAGGTGTGCCAGCAATTTATCACCAGCTTATTAACCAACCACAGACCAAGACAGAGTTTTAATTCATTTCAAAGCCATGTTCACCCGGGCTGGAAAACCCCCCAAAAACAGTCTTATTTGTTCACATCTATCGTCCACCTGGGCCTTACACAGAGTTTCTGTCTGATTTCTCAGACTTTTTATCTGATTTAGT